CCAAGACAGCCACGGGGGGAAGCAGTCACTGTGCAGACTGGAATTGAAGTACAAAATGTTCCGAAAACGGAGTAGAACTTCGAGCTGAAAGGTTTAGTCGATCAATCAACGAAGTAGCCAACAAATAGTTTGATTATTGAATCATTGTTGAATGCCAAAGGTCATTGTTCTTGCTTTGCTAAATGTGAGGATTTGCTAATGTTTTCTGAATATCTTAATGTTTTGGACTGTTGGTCGAACAAAACGAGACATTTGAAGGCGTCACCTCGGTTAAACAACAGATATTGATTGGACATGCAGCGTGTTTAGCTGCACAGTAATATGTAACCTGCTCAATGATATCAAAAACAACTGACAGTGACGGATAATGGTCTTGATTTACCAAAGTGTACCTGTAAGCATCGTTATTCTTGCTTCATTTTGTGTGTTGCCTCTAACGGCATTCTTGCCGAGCAGGTTTATAATTTCTATTAAGAAAGAAGGGGAATGAAATCCCTCTGATAAAGTGGTTGGAAAGCTGCGTTACTGCAACAACATTTAGTAACTCATTGTCATTCTAATTGCCAGAGATAAACAACTCTGCAACACAGTCAATGTTGTATTCCTTAAGGCAGGAGATCATTCTTTCCATACCCTCCCTCCAAATTAGTTCATTTCTTTGTGTCGCCACTCATTTGTTCATTTAATTTACATGAATTTAATCGCTCGCACGATCCATTCAATCCTTCAGGTGTGTGCACGCTTAATATATTGTATTTATCCCTGAGTAAAGTAGAGGAAAACACTAAAACAGGAGATGAGGGAGGGATGTTGAAAGGGTGATGATGCATGGAGGACATTTACTTTGAAGTGTTAAGCTCTGCAACCAAAGCTTAAGCTCACCCTATAGATATTTCAGGAAGACTGATGTAACACACACACACATACACACACACACACACACACACACACTGACTATTATGGGCATTAAATGTAGAGATACCTGATAAGGTGCATTACAAACGTGTTTGGTTTTATAGCAGCCGTCTAATCTTCCATCTATCGCTTTCCTCTCTCTCGGTTCCTCATCCCTCCTCTCGGCATTCATCTCCTCTCCCCTCTCTGCTGTTTTCCTTCTCCTCTCTTCATCTCTGTCACCGGCCTCCAGCTGGCTAGGTGAGATAACTCCTCAACACCGAGATACTCTCAGCTCATCGGCCGGGTGATGGAACGCGGTTCACCAATCACACGCTGCATCATTAGTCGAGGAGATCGGGAGCTCTTATCTGGGGCCGGACTGTTCTAAACTGTCCTCCACATCCCACAACTCTCCCGAAACAAACTCCAGTCTGGTGTACATGTTTGTTGATTCCTCTTTGACCGTGGAGTAAGCAGATTTGTTTGATCGATGATGCAGCACTATTACAATGAGTGACAAAGTAAAAAAGATGGAGTCAGAGTTCCTTCGTTCTTCAAACTGGCGGCTTTAAACGTGCGTGAATGTGGTTCGTGATCTCACCTTCCATCAACTTGGATGATGTAAAACAACTTCCCCTGTGTGCAAGTGTTGACATTGAATGCGTCTGAGAGCACCGCTGCGGCTGGCTAACACGAGAACCAGAGTGTGATGGTAGGAAGTTGAGGGTGAATCGTTAACTTGCGACCACTGGCACGCTGAAACTTTAGCATCATGTTTAGACGCATTTACTATTGAACTTTAGTGCGTCTTCTTTGGGACCAACACAACAAATCCACAACTAAACAAAAACAAATTAACATTCAAACAAATCGATCACAGAGCTGCAGTACATGATGCACATTGCATGCTCCTTTTCCATATTCATGAAAGTTAATGTTGCTTCACTTGAAGCTTCGCTGCTGAATTGAAAAATATTTTGTCTCTCTTTCCACTCGTTTGAATCGTCTCCTGTTCTCTCTCGGTGTCATGCTAAGCCTCTAAACTATCTGGCTTGAAGATCTACTCGCTATTAGCCCACAAGTGTGGAAGAAACTGTGTTTGGAAAAGCGTGAAGAAATCTGTTTTTTTTTTTTCTTTTTTTTAATCACATTAGTGACATTAGGACTCAAGCTGCTACAAGCTGTTACTTAGTGCTGAGGGATGAGTGCACCCTGGTGGGCGCTCATGGACTCCTGAATACATTCTTTAATAGTCCTGTGCTGCCATCCTGTGTTTACACCATATGTGAGCATGGCTGTTCAGTGCGCACTAACAAAGCCTCCCTATATCTTTTAAATATTGCTAAATAAAGTACAGTAATATAGATAGATACTGTAGTTATAACATTTATCCATCGTGAGAAATGTCTTCAAATGCACCGGGCTGCCATCTCCTGGCTGATACTACACTTCATCTCAAAGTGTGTTGATCACCGACAGACACCGTGATGCCTTCTAGACGTTGACAAACAGCGCGGAGACGGACTTGATGGCAGAAAAGGTTTACGGGTCTATTACCGTCCACCAGCAACCAGCGGCCTGTCTGACTGATTCTGATAGGTCATTCGGTTGCTATATTTGACCTTTGTCCGTGTGCATCTTGTCTCCAAGCTTCAAATATGATAACATTTGAAACAGAAAGGTTAATAGGAGAGCTCAGGCAAATGTAGAAAAGGTCAGAGATTCCCCCCCCCCCCCCCACACACACACACCCCACACACACACACACACACACACACACACACACACACACACACACAC